ATAAGAATCTTATCCCTATCTCCTATTACCAGATCCATCTAGATAAGACGAAAACCATTCAGGGGGATTCTACCTTCCCCCACATTCTCTGAAACTAAACTCCCCTTGAAAACTTGTAAGCCAGTCACTAATAGCCCCCAATTTTAGGTAGCCAACGTATAAATTGCCCATGTCTATCACCAAGCGGGGGTAGGATGAAGACTTCTCCCCTCTAAGTTGGTATTTTGAACTACTACATTCATAAATATAGGTCAAGTTCATCAAATTATAGCAATTTACACTTGTTTCCTTTATCAAAATTTTTTATCTTCTTTTAGTGGAGTTGTGATCTTCAAGCCATCAAAGCTAGGTCAAATGGGTACTATCTGCTCTACATATGTATTTGTATGTGTTACAAATATATTCATATATGCAGTAGAGCAAATGGGGCAAAGATAACAAAACTTCTTAGCCATAAACAAACACCTGAAGGGAATGAGTCATTGGACTTGGGGGTTTAGGACCACAGTATCAGGGGACAACTAAGTTAATTGCATACAACAGTTCACAAATGCAATGTTCTATGTCCCACTGCAGTGAACAGCATCTGGAGTTTTAAAAGCTAGCGAACAGCCATCTAAAATGCAACTCTTGTTCTTTGTACTATTGTACAGAGTAAAGAAGAGTGAAGAAAATCAAAGGCTCAGGGACACAATTAGTCCAAGGGACTAATGGATCACTAGAACCATTGTCTCCACTGCCCTAAGGCCAAAAGAACAAGATGGTGACTGGTTACCACTACCAACTGGTCTCATCAGGACTACAAAAGTTCCTGGAAAGAATGGGAGGAAATTGTATAACGAAATTCAAAATCATAAGACTAGATGTACTGATCTGATAGAGACTAGTGGGACCCCCGAGACTATGGATTTAGACACCCTTCAAACCTAGAACTGAATCCAGCCCCTAGAATCATCTCTCAACCACAGGCAGACCTATAAAGTGAACCACAGTCCTCTGAGGAACATACTCCTCAGAGCACTCAAACATATGAGGTCAAAAGGGCAGCATTTGCTCCAAAACAAAGCTCAGAATACAGGCAGAAGCAGGAAAGAGAGACGTGTGCAAATAAGGAAGCTAGGGAGGTGGTGGGAAGAGAGCTACTATAGTGAGGGATTACAATTAATGTCACAAAACAAAACGGATATGAATTATTTAAAGGAAAATATATTTGTTCTGTAAACTTTCACTCAAACCAAAATAAATGAAAATAAAATAAAAAGTTAAAACAGCAATAACAAAAAAATTCAGACATCAGGAAACCTGGGGCTCTTCTGACTGCAGGGTGTTTGGGACTACACAATCATACATTCATGAAGTAGCTCCAGCATGCAGTATGTGTTTTTGTTTTTTGTCTGGCTTCTTTTACTTGGTGTCCTTGGGTGATGGAAACAGTTGATTCCACCAGGTCATAACCAGAAGGTTGGCAGTTCAAATCCCCCTAGAAATACTGCGGAAGAAATGCATACTTCTGAACAACAGCCACTGAAAACCCTATGGAGTGCAGTGCTACTCTGACACCCATGGAGTCATCAGGAGTCAAAAGTGATTTGAAAGTAACTTGTAACTGGCCTTTAACTTAGCATAGAGAATCCTCCACAATCATCCACATTGTTGCCTGTATATATAATATGTCTATATTTATTGGGGCAGATGCACTAATAGCTGCATTCAGGGGTGGTCCCTCACAGTAGGAAGTCCAACAGAGTACAAGAAACCTCCAGAGGGGAGGAGGTCATGAAAAACCCAGGAAAGAGATGAGAAGAACAAGCTAACCTGCACTTTAGACAAGCTCCTCCTGCAGCAAGTTGGTCAGTCCCTAGGTCTGAGAGCTCCAAAGGCAGAAGCACTTTAAAGTGCTTGTACCTACACAGCTTTATCTTTTCTAAGAGTCTTGCTGTGGTGCTGTAGGATAAGCATTAGACTGCTAACCACAAACTAAGCAGTTCAAATCTACCAGCTGCTCCTCGGAAACCCTATACAGGGTCATTGACTTGACAGTACACAAGAACAACAAGGCTACCAGATGTTGGATGCAGTTTCTAGGGGTTTGTAAAGTAGGCAGGCTCTAAGTTGCTAAAAAAATTGCTCATTTGAGATATCTTTCAACAATTATGTATGCACACATTTTAATTTTGCCCCTGCAGTCTTTGAGGGGGGTGGGTTAAAAGACTTCAGCTTAACATGAAGAAGTAAGCAATTTG